CTTTTCGATTTTTGAATAAGTGGTCCTGTTGCCCCTCCTTTTATAGAGATATCAATTTTGTTCAGAAACACTCAGAGAATTGTTGCCTGCAGAAATTTCCCTTTCTTGCACTTCTGAGATATTATCTGACTTCCTTCATCATTTCTGAAAATGGCTTGCCCATCTAACATTTGCTTAGATTTGAGTCTTAGGATTGATACAGACGAGCAGCGTCAGGATAACATATGACGCCCGTCCTTCTCATCTTCTAATGGTCCTCTTACGGTTGAGGACTCTGTGATGAAGAATAACATAACCGCTACAGTGGTAGTCAGGAATCTTCTCACTTCAAAGGACAACAGAATCCTTTCAAACTGGTCTGATGAGGCGGCCGTTCAAGACTCATTGGCTCTCAGTGTTCAATCTGCGGGCTCTGTATCCAATATGGGTCAGCGCTTACTTGCTCGAACTCACCAAGTTGAATCATTAATGGCTGAGGTGGCAAATCTTAAACAAGAGATTAGAGGGCTCAAGCATGAGAATAGAGTTTTACACATGCTTGCAAATAATTACTGTACGAGCATGAAAAGAAAGCTCGACCAGCTACTGGAATCCGAAGGTCGGACTCAAAATGACAATCGGGGGTTCGAGTCTTTATTCCAAAGACATCCATTGTCTTAGTTGTCTGGAGTTCCACCAAGTATTGAGACTCCAAATAATCAACTTCTGGTGTCTTCCCCTTCTGGGGTACTTCCGAGTACTGAGGTTTCACATGAGTAACCTTTGTGAAGGTTCCTTTCTGTTTGTTTGTTTTAACTCATGTGTATGTAATTTCTCGGAGATATTAATATATAAGCTTTATTTCATTCAGTGCATTGTGTTAAATACAATAAAGCATATATTTCACTAAGATGTGGTACTTCTGGACCAAATATCAATTTATCTTTACCCTCGCGAAGATAAATGATTATTCTTAGTGTCTAAATCATTTGAGTATTCAACTCATAATCTTCAATCCATATGATTCTTTAATGTCATAAACATCATGGATAAGATTCGTGTTGGCATATTGTTCGATTCTGCAGTTCGAGACAATATTTCTCTCAACACTTTATAATCTTTCTTGACTCTTCAGGAGTCCCAATTTAATATCATCAACTCTTACAAGAGATTTTAGTATGTTGCAACAATACCATAATGGATGTACTCATTAAGGCAATTTATACCATCCATTAGTATTGAGTACATATTTCATGCTTTACCCTTCTGGGGCTTTCTTCAAGCAATTTGAATCCTTCAGGGATTTTTTACATTTCATGACACATTTTCCTTTAGAATTTATACAGAGCAATTAGCTTTCATGTATATTTGAGGGATTTACTTATGGAGATATGATGTGGGTGACTCATAACCTTTCGTATATAATTCTCCATTCATATGAACTCCTTTACAACCTTGTGTCATCTCATGTGAGTATATTTCACAGTATTACAAATGCCCATATGTAACCTTTTAGGTTCAACATCTTTTGGCTATTTGTATTGTATCCAAATATATAGGTCTATTTTTCCACGTTCTTACAAAATTGTAATGGATTTGCCTTTATCCATTTTTAGCCCATAATTTTGTTGATGGAAAAAGAACGGGACTCAATATCACCACAGCTCATTGATGAATTTAGTAGCTACTTGTAAAAACCAAAATTACCATTGGTTATCATCAATCTGTGATCCTATATTCTCATGTGCATGCGCATGCATAAAAGCTTTTCATTTCTTTTGGATATCTATTGCCTCTTCAAGGGCATTACACTATCTCTTCCAGGATAGTCGTAATTTAGAGAATGCGGATCATAACCTCCTTTTGAGCGTTATAGAGCTTGGATTTTAATCTCCACTTCGGGAGTTGAGTCATTGGAACTTATACGTCTATTATGCTTCATGCATGAGACATCAATATTCCAATGTCCGCGGATTGACCTTTTCGGGACAAGTATCCTTGTGGCAACTGTCATGCGTCTGGCATGCGACAGCTACGCTTTGGGAATGCAATAATTCAGTAGTGCCATATTCTTCTTCTTTCGAATGACTGAACCTTTTGAGTCTGAGGGGCTGCCACGCTTCAGGCGTGCAACAGATAAATCATTTGCTGCCATATTATTTTGTCCAACAGGGACATTAATTCTTGTAGGCACATTTGCAGCAAGCATATGTGATTTTATCACTTTCGTTGCATCATTAAATGCATCTGGCATTTGATTTGCATATCGTTGCATCATTCAATTATTCTCACTTTGTTTGTATATTGATTACTTCATGAATCAAAATACGACAAATTCTCTTCGTTCTTCTGGAACGGTTTTTTCTCATCATTCTTCTAGAATGATATTTGTTCATTGTTCTTCTGAAATGAAGTTATTTTCTCCCTCTAACGGCGGGAAAATTGTCTTATCAAAATGACAGTCCGCAAACCACGCGGTAAATATATCCCCAGTCAAGGGTTTTAAATATTGAATGATAGATGATGTTCAACATCAATGCCTAATCCGCAATGATGCTTCATTTTAGTATGTTATGGCAGTGCAATAGGCACATAGATAACACAACCAAAAACTCGTAAATGTATAATGTTTGGCTGGTTCCCAAACATGAGTTGTATTGAGAAGTATTGATGGTTATCAACAGGTCTCAACCAAATCAATAATGCATCATGTAAAATGACATATACCCATGTAAAAACTGGCAATTTTATTTTCATCAGCAGAACGCGGGTAATTAATTTCATCTGCTTAATAAATACTTCTGCTAAACCATTTTTGAATATGGACATAAAGAACTTCTGGTCCTTATTTAATAGTCTGTAGACTAAGACTCTTATGGCTTTTATTGCAATTAAGTTGAGGCACTGCGACATTTCAAACTTAAGGTACTTATCAAGGAACTTCATGTCCTGATCTTTTTATTTGATGGAACTTCAGGTCCAATCATTTTTATTTGATGAGGATCAAGAAACTGCAGGTTCTGATCTGATCAAGGAACTTCGGGTCCAGTATGTACTCATCGTAACAAAAAGAAGTACAATGAATAAATTAAAGCAATAGGCGGTAATTCCAGCCATAATGAATAAATTGCATTTAAGTAAATAAAGCTTGTGACAAGGGCTTTAATTCAGCACCATTCACATAAATCAAAACTTAAAGCAGTAGGCGGTAAAACCGTCCATGATAAATAAATTACTTTAAAGGAAATAGAACTTGTGAAAGGGTTTTAAACCAACACCAATTCACATAAATAACAAGAAGTATTATACCTCCTTTTATTTATTATTTTTCTTTCTTTTGTCAGCACTTATTCAAACTTCATTATTGTTACTTTTCTTATTTCTGCAACATGGTGTCATGCACCAACAGAAACCTATTTATATCATTTTGACTAAATGGTGTCATGCACCATTCAAATCCTTTATATATATATATATATATATATATTTTTTTTTTTTTTCTTAGGTTGCAGTCAACATCCCTTTTTTTCTTCTTCACATGTGCCTTGCCATTCCATCAATCCCCCTTTTCTATTATTTTTCTTCCTTCTCTATCTTTGCCAGTCTCGAAACACAAAGCCAGCTGGGTAGTTATGGAGGTTGCTCAAATTCAATTTAATCCAAAAGGCTACTAGAGACTGGCGTTGTTCTTGCATGACCCAGGAAACATGTCATCGTTAAGCAAGAACTTCCTTACAGAGACATAAATGACAGTGGGGTTGATGGAGGCACAAGAGAGGGAGGCCTGTGTGGATTCATTCTTGCCATCACCATCTCAAACAACCAAGTATTCATGGGAGTTCTCAAGATCCGTCGAAAACAACATGATCTGGGTTTCCAAGTCTGATGAGATTCTTCTGGATCTCTGGAAACTAGTTGTCAGGTACGAGTTTTCTCATCTCGTGACGACTTCAGGTCGTGAATTTCAATTCTCACCAGAATTCGGTGGGGCGCTTCTGGCGCAGTGAGAGAGACGAAAAATGGACATACCTTTTATTCTGTGAGATTTTAGATGACTGAGGTGAGAGGTGGATAGTGCTTCATCGGATTTATGGCGTTATGCTTTCCACTGACATGAGAGCTTTTCGTGCTGATAACGTGTTGTAAAATCGACGATGTGTGTATAGCGGAATAAATAAAACAAGACACAAAATTTACGAGGTTCCTCTACAGTCAATGTGACTGGAGTACGTCCTCGGGCAGCAGTGATGCTTTTATTATAATTTGGAATAATAGGAGTACAAAGATAACTCTATGTATTCTCTCCTCTCCTCTTCCTCTCTTTCTTTTTTTTGCTCTCAATTCAAAGCATACGGAGTGCTCTATTTATAGAGCAACTCCAAGCACACATCTTTGATAATATAATCTCCACATATCAATATTCTGCCAAGGTTTTCAACACTTTGGCAATGTTTTCAATGTTGTGGCAGGTATTCAATACTGTGGGCATTCATTACCCACTAGTATTTTCAACAAACTTTTAGTTTTTGGTTTTTAGCTATGAAACAAATATGCAAACAAAGTGAAAACCAAAACAAAGTCGATTCGGTAATCATTTTCTAATTGGAAGTTTATGCCTACCCAATTAACTGCATATGATCCACCATCATTCTTTTCTAAATGGACGTTTGTGGCTACCCAATTAAGTGCATGTGGTCCATGAGAGTCTCCATGGTTTTGTTGTCTGCACTATTTTCATGTTTGGATTTACAATGTCGCTGTCCCTTCTAAACTCATCTTTCATCTCATCCATTTATTTTTTCCTACATCATGATTTCTTCTTTTCAAAAAGGTTTGTACATGACAAGTTTGTGGATAAATTCGAGTTCCGTATACCTGAGTTCAAAAAGAAAAAGGGAATTTTAAGACCTTCCAATAGTGTGCTTTTTTTTTTTTTTTTTTTTTTTTTTAAACAAACTAGATTATCTATATTAAAGGAGAAATGAGTGCGCTTAAGCTCATAATGTGGTTCAAATTCTCTTTTGGCGATAATCGAACCTAAGACCTGTCACTTATAAGTGAAGATGAATATCACTAGACTGTAGTACTAAGTGGCAAGACTGTCCAATAGTTTAACCACCAAGTTCGTAAGTTTTCATTCAATGTTTTTGTGTGCATGAGGTTATGTCTTCCCTCGAAACATTATGCATTAAGACAACCTAAATCTCAAATTTAATATCACATATTGACATGGTTGATTGTTTTATAGTCTATGTTAAGTTTTTAGCCTTACATTGGCAGCTAATTGCTTAGATTTTAGGTTTCAAGTTTTTAGCCCTACATGTATGGAAGTTACTTTCCACACGAGCATTTGTTTTCCCTTGTTTCCTGAGAGCCAATTAGTACGGTAACACAACTTTTTGTGGACAGGATATGGTGGTGGAGGGGGAGGATTGACACTTCCTCTAACACGACTGAGTTTGCACTGGCTGAAATCTTGAACAAACCAAAGATGATGGAAAAAGCCAAGCAAGAGTTAGAAGATGTAGTTGGAAAACACAACATTGTAGAAGAATCCCACATCGACAAATTGCCATACTTACAATTTATGATGAAAGAAACCTTGCGCTTGCACCCAACCCTGCCTTTGTTAGTCTCTCATTACCCAAGTGAAACATGCATTGTGGGAGGCTGCACCATTCTGAAAGGATCTCAGATTTTCATCAATGTTTGGGCCATACTCAAAGACCCTTCAATTTGGGAAAACCCGTTGGAGTTCAATCGGGAGAGGTTCTTGGACATCAAATGGGACTACAGTGGGAAGGACTTCAACAAATTTCCATTTAGTTCAAGCAGAAGAATATGTGTTGGGATTGCAATGGTTGAGAGCATGGTGATGCATTCACTTGATACACTTTTGCATTCTTTCGATTGGAAATTGCCAGAGGGAGAGAAGTTGGATCTTTCTGAGAAGTTTGGGATTGTGTTGAAGAAGAAGCTTCCTTTGGTTGCCATCCTAACTCCAAGGTTATCAAATGTAGCACTCTATGAAATTCCTTAAAATACTTCACTTGTAATAATTAATACCTTAAGCCCAAAAATATTTCTGGAAAATTGCATGTTTACGATAATGTTCTCTTGTGAGATATTGGTATATCAATTATGAATTTATACCAAACTTCTGTTCCTAGAAATTTCTAGGTATAAGAGCATTTGTTTTGAAAACCTCAAGCTTATGTTCCTCTTTCTACGATTTTCTTTTCTCAAGCATTTCCAGATTTGACTTGTTTTATTTGTCTTCTCTGTTAATATGATGAAAAATGATATTTCAAATTGCTCAAGTCCGAAGGGTAGGACTAATCCCCAATGAAACTCGGAAAAGCTAAGTTACACATGGAATGAATATCAAGAATCTTCTTAAATAGAATTAGTCGATGCCTCTATTAAGACGATTTTGAATAAATTGTTTCAGTAAAAAGGTTTAACATTAGGATTTGGAGGTAACTTGAATGTTGTTCAATGAATCTATTTGTTGGTTTATTGATGCGAAAATTACTTGACACTCAAATTAAACCCTCGTTTGACAATTGTAGTAGAATGGATAAGTGAGGGATCGTTCTAGACCGGGGATTAGGAGGGCTTGCTAAAACCTTCTAAATTGACTTAAAAACATAAGAACACAATATAAAACACTATTTAATGCTCGAAGAAAGCAAAACTAAAAATAAGAAAGATTAAGACTAAGACTTCAACGAAATAGGGGGGAATTGGATTTGGACGAATTAAAACTAAAACGTAAAAACAATATAAAACGTTAAACTAGACTCAAAGAATGTGAAACTAAACGTTAAAACACTAAGACAAACCAAAAGAATCAAAATGCTTTAAAAACACAAACTAAATTGATTTCTAACTATATTGAACATTAAAGCAAAAGGGGGATTGAGGTTTGATGAAAATTGAAATAACGAAACAAGTTAATAACTAGACAGAATGTAATTGATGAAATAAGATGGTTGGTGAATTAGCTAGAGGTTCTTTCTCCACACATGATATTTATGCATATGAATCAATTTCCAGTTATTCCTTCATTGAATTATGAACGACAATGCCCCAAATTAACCGTGACATCACTAGTTAACCCTCAGATTTTCCTTATATTATTGGATTGGATGGCATCATTCGACAACCCAAAACATTCTCAAAAGTTCCCTACATGTCATCATAATAGAGATACAATCGAAGATCATTAAGAATAATGAAAACCATAAGCATTGACAAAGCACTTGCAACTATGACATCATGTTACTCATGCTAAGAATTAAACTTAACGCGATCGTGACAAGCGACCTTCACTACTTTCAAGTATAAGTTAGTAACGATTATGTGAAACCTTCTTAAACTTTAGCCACATATTCATGCATGCTAATTAAGTGTCGACCCTCAATCAACAAACACAAATAAGTTAATCATCAAATAGTTAAGCCAATTGCATTCACGAATCAAGAGTTCATAACCGGAATTCATCAATTCATATTACATAAATAATCATGGTATTGAAATCACCCCTAGCCAAAAAGGGTTTAGTTCCTCATAACTTTGAAATCAAAGAAACACCTAAACATTCCAACAACTCAAACTTGAATTGTATGAACGTTTAGGCACTCTTCTCTTCCTCTTCTCATATTACAAAACAAAGAGAATTGAATTTAAACATTGAAATCAAAGAAACGCGTAAACATTCCAACAACTCAAACGTGAATTGTATGAACGTTTAGGCCCTCTTCTCTTCCTCTTCGTTGTAGCACAAGGACTAAGGGATGTTGTTGGTGTGTTGAATGGATTGGGGGATTATGGAAATGGAAGAAATGGAGGAGAAAGGGAAGGGAAGAAATGGAAGTGTTTGAGGGGTGTTGTGTTGTGAAATGAGATGAGATGTCCCTTTGTGTATGAATGCATGGGTTTTTATAGGGGGAATGGGAGAATATGTGGATGATTGTTTAAGAGTGAATGTGGTTGTTATGATGAAGAGTGAATAAATAATGCATGTAGGGTTAGGAAATAAAATCATAAATTAAAGGGGGGATGATTAAAGGGTGTGGCTAGGTTGGAAAGGTGTGGAAGATGGATGGAATCATGGGTAGTGTTGTTTGATTTGTTTTGTGGTTAATGGGAATGTGGTTGAATGATTAAATGGACATGTGGGGTGTAATTGCAAAGGGAATGCAAAGTGAATGAATAATGAATGCATGTGAGTTAAAGAGGGAGAATGTGGTGAAATGATGAAGTGGGAAGGTGGAAATGCATGTGAGATGTTGGAAAGGAAATGGGAATATGAGTAGGCCATGGCATGGGAGTTGTTTTGTTGGTGTAAATGTGCCATGGTTGCAATGATGAAGAATAAAGGGTGCATGTGGGGTGGAATTGAATGAATGCAAAGTGAATGAATAATGAAATGAGTTAAAGAGGGAGAATGTGGTGAAATGATGAAGTAGGAAGGTGGAAATGCATGTGACTTGTTTGTGGAATAAAGAATGAATGGTGGAATGATGAAGAGTTGCATAAAGAATGCATGTAGGGTTAGCTAGGTTGGCTTTGTTTGGGTGCATGTGTGTTAATGGTGGTTTTGCATGTGAATTGATGGATTGTTTTTGATGGAATGGATGGTTCTTTGCATGGCTTTTGAAGTGATTGTGGGCTTTGGAATTGGAAGGAAATGCATGGCCTTGGGGTTGGTTTAAGAGAGAATGGGCTAGGCCCTTTGTTTTATGTCCAAAATGAATACAAGGCCTTCAAATTCGTCCAACACTTTGGCTCCAATCATATGCTATCCATTCCAAGCCCAATTTTGCTCCAAAATGCTCCAAAATGCATCTTTTTGCTTCCTTAGCCATATGAACCTAAAAACACACGAAAATGGCTTAAACTACTAAAACAACTATGAATTAACAACATAGATGCACGAAAACAAGCTAAGTAAGTCGCCTAAATATGCTCCTATCAAACTCCCCCACACTTATCTTTTGCTAGTCCTCGAGCAAAACAGAATAAAAACAAATAAACAAAACGACACTTAAACACGTAAAACACAACCTACACCTTCCGACAACCGTCTTAGGGATTTCCAATGCACATGACATGTTAAAAATCACCATTCCCACAGATTTTAGTCATCTTCACACTTAAGTACATTCTTAATCATAGTCACCACATACTAGTTCACAATTAAGCATTTAAAACCATGTTTTGAATGTAGTAACATGCCTTTAGAGAATTTGCTCAATTCCTTACAAGATATGCACTCGATTTTCACTCAGATTTTCTAACTACACACCCTAATCTAGTCATATGTGAGAAGATTGATGTAAACATGAAAACGAACACTCACATATATGTATCACAAAGAACGCAATTTCTGGAGTTAATAAGCATGTTTAGATATGATCTCATGAATGGAATGCTACTACTTAGACGCGAGAACCAGTGACACCATATGCTCATACCAAGTTCAAACTCCACAAATTGAAACACATAACACTCAAGATTGAAGTCACGGGTTGTAATAGGGCTTGGGATATTGGCTCACAAGGAAAGGTAAGGATAAACAAAAGTTCTTTAAACAATAGCAAGCAAGGTAATGAAATTAAGGCTTAGAATTCACTTGGCATGCAGAAATAAACTTTTAGACATAAGGGGGAGATTCAATCAACTCTTAGGGCCTAATTTATTGTTTTGGGCCCTTACTTCAACCAACAATATTTTTCAACTTTTTTTTTTTTTTTTTTTTTTTTTTTTTTTTCTTTTTTTCTTTTTTTTTTTCTTTCTTTCTTTTTCTTTTGAATCTCAAAACGTACATATAAATTTAAAAACAAACTTTTACTCCCCCACACCCATTTTCTTGCGTAATGTAACTCAAAAGGAATTCATTTAAGTCATGCTCACTATACTTCAAGAACAAGGGTACAAATCGTCCTAATCTAGGCTAGGTGAGGATGATAAGGGTTAACAAAGAACATGGGCTAAACAAGCTCAACGGGGGTAAAACTTACAACATATACGAAATATGGGAAGTGAGGCTATTTGGCTATGGTGGTGGTCACTACACAACTTCATCTTGAATATGTGTTATGCAAATCAATAACATGCTTTGAATGAAATGGGCATGAGTTCTAGCATTTGGAACTATATGATGAAACGCCTTCTAAGTAGCAACCAAGCAAAGAATAATGAGATCATGCAACGACTTTAGAAAACAAGAAATCACAGATTATACTCTCCAAAGAACGTTATAGGCTCAAGTCTCTCAGGGTTGTAGCGTTTGTTTGAGTTCCTTCCTTCAGGCATGTTACAAAAACTAATCTTTCTTTTATGATTGCATGTGAAGTCATACATTATAACCATAACCAAGCATATACCAAGAGTAAATCAAACTTTTCTCCATGTTTATAACTCTTTTTAACAGTCATGCAATTACAAACCAAATCTTGAGGCAAGTGTTGGAAGGTACCTACGACACAAACACTCACACAAAAACAACTTTAAAACAATTCTTTTTGGGTTTTTCAAAACAATTTTTCAAATTTTTATGGGATTTTCGAATTTTTAAGTCAAAACACACTAAAACAGTTTAAACACACTTAAAAACAACAAGAAAACAATATTTGAAGTTATGGTGGATAAAACCCTACGAATTTGCATCAAAACACTTTAGTTACCCCCCCACACTTAAATCAAACATTGTCCTCAATGTTTCAAGCATAGACTCACAAAATTAACAAACAAACAAACAAAACAACAACTAAACAACCTAACATGGCAGAATGTATCTAACAAAGAAAAGAGTTTAGAGATGCAAATCTGGAATTGGAGTGCTTTCTCGGCCTTCCGTTGTTGAATGCATGGGCATGATCTTGGTGATTCCACAGGCTTACTCTTGAACTGGGCTGAGGTTTCTTTTGGTTTCCTCCGATCATTGATTTTCCTTTGTGCTACTCTTGAACTGGGCAGCAGGATTCTTTTGGTCTCCCCCGAAGGTCTGAGCTTACTCCTTTTATTTGTTCAATCTCTCCAATTCGTATTGAAGAGGGTTAGAGGATAGCTCAGCATATGCTTGTCTCCTCATGCTTCAATGTAAGGCAAAGGAAAATGATATATTGAAGCATGATATGAGATACCTTTGCTTTTGACCTTGATGATATGAGATACCTTTGCTTTTGAAGAAGCGGTGAATGAATCAGCACATGTATTTGTTGTGCTGCTTCCTCCTGGGTCATCTGTACTCCAGGCATCTGGTATCATCTTTGGGGAAGAAGAAAAAATTGAGTATTTCAAAAGGCTTTGCTGGGAGTGCGCCCTCAGAGGTGAGGAAGAGTTGGT